CAACTAATTTTGTTATTTTTTTGTAGAGATGGGTCTTGCTACATTGCTCAGGCTCGTCTCAAACTCCTAGCCTAAGTGATCCTCCTGCTGTGGTCTCCCAAAATGTTGGGATTACAGGTTGTGAGCCACAGTGCCTGGCCTAGAAATTTTAAAGAGGCTTTCACCAGCATCATTAAAACCTTAGTGATATGTTCGTATTTTATCTGTTAGGATGCCAGCGGTGAAAACACTGTCGTTCCTCCAGAAACATACGTGAAAGTGGCAGGCCATCTGAGATCTTTTCAGGTAAAGTCAGCATAAAATAGCAGTTAAAATGAATTTGCCTGAAGCAATTTCTGGATTCATATCTGGGTTTAGGATGCTTGATACTTAAGTTTCCATGGTTTATTGAAAATTTCAGTTACTTCATTATTTTGTTCTTCAAAAGGAAATAACTGGATTTTACCTTAATGTAAAACTAACAGAATGATATAGAAAGAACAGAATCTCCATCTGTAATTGCCAGCTGGGGCGTCCGTTAGGTGGAGTAGGAAGAACACTGGATTCAGAGTCAGGAGAACAGACGGTGCTCAGTTGTATAACCTTGGGAAAGTCATAACAACTGAGCTAGTTTTATTTTCTCCCCTCATTATTGACTGTATTTGGATTACCCCTGAATTAAAAATTTTAGGTATATAACACATTTTTCTCATACTGGCAAAATGTTATAACTGAGAAAGGAGCCACGATGTTTTAACCTGAAATTGATGTGAATATGCTCATCCTTTATTCATATTTTTCTCTTCATTTTAATAGAACAAAAAGAGCCTGGTAGCCTTTAAGATCATGCCCCTGGAGGATATGAATGAGTTTACCACACATATTCTGGAAGTAGTCAATGCACACATGATACTGAGCAAATCTAACAGCCAGGTGAGCAGCTTCACTCTTCTAGCTTTTTCTCTTCTCTGGATGAACATGCTCTAGCTTTGACTTCCTTGACATTTTGAAGGTTGAATCAGAAGTAAGGCATCACTCAGTCTCAGAACACTTTCTTCATGAGCTCTGTCGTCGTATTTTATTGCAGATGAAGCACTCATGTTTCTCTCAGAATTATGAGTTCTTCTGACCCCACTGGCCTGGATGCCTAAGGCCTGAAACAGCCTTCAGGTGTAGATGTGTAATTATAGACTGAGCTCTTAGCTCCAGGATTGTCAGTCTGTATTCAGAGAAAAACCCCAAGTAGGACAGCATTTTGCTACTTTCCTTCCAACCTATTGGCTGAGTGGGAAAAATTACATACTGTTATTTTTTCCCTTGGTTCATATTGAAATTTCTCCATATTATTTTCTATTGTGTGAATTGACTGGCAAATCCATCTAGGGCCATGCAAGGTGTTTGTTGATTCTAGTATTAGGAAGTTCTCAGGTGGCAGGGCAGAGGACTGGTTACAGAAGTAGACACTGGAAAACCTACAAGCCATTAAGAACATTGTCGCATCCTACTGTGTGCCAAGCACTTTGTGAACCCCAGGGACACAGATAAACTCATTCATTCCTTTATTTGAAAAATATTTATTGAGCCTACAATGTACCAATCATTATTCTAGGTTGTTCTTGGAATACAGCAGTGAACAAGATGGATAAAACATCTGCCCTCAAACTTACATTTTTGGGAGAAAAAAACAACAAACAAGAAAACAAATGTATAATTTTAGGTAGTTTGGAAACAAACTAAAGCTTTGGATTTGAATTTAGCTTTGAAATGAAATAAAGCAGAATAGAGAAGAGAGTGATGGAGAGAACAAGAATGGTACAGTTCATTGGAAGAGCATTCCAAGCTAGAGGGAATAGGAGTGCAAGAGCCATGAGGCTCGAGCAAGCTTGGCATCTCTGAGACCAGCAAGAAGGCCAGAGTATCTACAAATGACAAGGGAAAGGTTAAGGGATGTAGGTGAGGATGCCCCAATCACATGGGGCTTTCTAGGCCGTGGTAAGGATCAACTTTATTCTAATTGGTACTAAAC